CCCCAAAACCCCAAAACCCCAAAACCCCAAAACCCCAAAACCCCATATAAAATTAGGGAATAAAGAAGTATAAATAATTAAATATAAGACAACCAAAATGAAATTCACTACTTCTCAAATCATCAAAATCGATCAACAGATTGAGAAATTATACGACTTGACTCTCCCAAATAGCGCCTTTAAGAGAGTTATCCCAACCAACATCATGAATGAAATGAGAGAACTCTATATTGAGAGTCTCCAAAAGAAGAAGCAACAAATCGAACAGGAAAACGAAATGCTTTCGACTTCCCGATCTGAATCAACCCAATTTGTGAAAGTCAACATCGCCGCTCTTAGGGAAGCAGGATATTGCTGCTGCCCAGAAGAATTAGCTGCCCAGTGCGAAGAGCTAATCAGAAACCAAGAAGCCACTATGAGATCAGAAAATACTGAAGAATTGAATGTTCTGACCAATAATATACCTTCTATCGGAAAGAATCTCACTTTTGGAGCAAACGAAGCTGAAGTTGAATCAGATACTGATACATCTGATGAGAAATCAGTCGGTGTTCCTTCAACTACCTCAAAGGTTGAGGCCATCCTTGCTAAGAAGAACTTCCCTAAGAAGGAAGCTAACACTGAGTTCAAGAAATCTAAGGCTTCTTCCTCAAAACGTACTACCAAAAGGAAGTATTTCACAAAATATATGAGTGATGAATTTAGTAAAGACACTAAGCCTGTGGATATGTCTATGATGGACTCTAAGACACAGGATCTCTTCCAAACCCAGGATTTCAATGAGCTCGTCTCTGACATCACTGGCATTAACTAATAACTCTAATTAATCCTAATATAAGTAAACTAAACTTTCGTATTTCTCCTGGTCGGGTCACCAACTTGTTTCATACTAATGGTTCAACTTACAGTTACATTTGAAACGGTTTCTGAGGGGGACTAGTAGAGGTCCAACCATTGGGGTAGAGAAGTCAGGCAAGGTGGGTTAGAAGGCCTGGCTGCGCCTCAACCCCTGTAAAAGGTAACCATAGCACAATAGACATAAATCAGAATTAACTTTTTCTGTTCATTTAAACATAATTCGTTTTGGTAGCATGCGCAAACCGTCAGGCATGAAGAATTTGTAACTTCTAACTCATGATAGAGGTATTTTAAATAATAGTGCAGCAAAAGTGCTTCTCTTAGCGTTGGAAGCACCTTCTGAATGTCCTAGGACTGAGAAAAGAGTAATTCAAAAGCCGATGGAGAAATGGAGGTTTCATTATTGCGCTATGAAGTTCTAATCCGAGAATTTTTCGGATGATTCTTATTTCCTTCAATGTTCTGCCAAAAATGGAGAATCATCTCTCTGCACCTATATTCAAATGTATGCGTATTATGAGAAAATTAGATTAACAGCTGGGCATCAGAAATAATCCCCTGTTTCAAGCCGCCTACTCCAGTCAGCCCTCGCCTGTTAGAATAGTGACAGGTAAAAATTGTATTTTCAGCTTTAGCTGCACCTCAGGGGTTTTGGGGTTTTGGGGTTTTGGGGTTTTGGGGTTTTGGGG